TGTAGGTGCAGGCAAGAACTTTGCAGGTGCAGGAAAGAACCCTGCGCGTGCAGGTGCATGTATGAACCTTGCAGGTGAATATAGGGACTCTGCAGGTGCATGCAAAACCTTTCAGGGGCAGGTAAGAACCTCCAGGTGCAGGCAAGAACCTGCAGGTAGTGGTAAGAAGCTGCAAGTGCAGAAGAATCTGGAGATGTAGTGTGCGGTGTGCTTTTCTATGCACCTGTATGCGCATTAGATTTTAATAAATATCACCTGAGGTTTGTCCGATGTCCGTGATTACGAGGATAAATGAGGCACGAGTTTCGTATTGATAAAATACTTATATGTAGAGTTAGTGTATTGGCTTACAGGTACAAGTGAGTTGAACGGTAACGCCTTCGTTTTAGGTTCAGACTGAGGTCTTCCGTGTTTAGACAAAGCTTATAAACACGTCACCAATGTGATAAGTCTATCGAGTTGTACAAGAGAAGGCTAACACAAGGATATGTTTATCAATAAAAACTTAATAGCAAAGAAAACTCCACAAAAATTCATAGTATCTTTAAAGAAAACGTTTCGGAGTCCAGCTCCATCGTCAGTTCGAAAATTTCTAAGTATTTCTAAGTAAGTATTTCTAAGTATTTCGCAAATGTTAGTCTTCGTGTCATATTGGTCAACCATTTAAAATCGGTTCTTTTTTAGGTACAAAGATACTCTCCCTGTGCATATGCGAGCGTCCCTAGTTTATAAATTTAGTTGTGCACGATGTGAATCTGCGTACGTCGGGATGACGTCTCGCAATCTTTATTCTAGGGTCGCAAGAACATAGGGGCAGGAGTTGTAGAACTGGTAACTTACTGTCGCGCCCACCTCATTCGGCTGTGCGGGTTAACGCCGAGCAGTGCGATGTTCCAGTTTCTGACAGTGACTTCAAAGTTTTAGCTTCCAGTTCCGGTGTTTCTGATTTGCGCATTTTAGAATCATTGTATATTTTTAAACAGAGGCCTAGTTTGAATTTAGCTCTTAGCTCTTACCCGCTTGAAATTGTAAATAGGTAGGTTTTGCAGCTTAGGATTTTCGTTGTATTCTTGACTGTACTAATCACTGATTTATCTGTGTTCTAGAATTTTCGAACTGACGANGTGATATTATTACTTATGTTTATCAAGTATCAACATCGTGATAGGAGAAATCATCTTCTATGACGAACTATCCTTAACTTCTCTGATAACCAAATGCGTCACCTTGAAAGTTCGGATGGTCTCAATTGTCACGCCCACCAAGTACTGAAAATTCAAAGATTGGCTTGATTAGCAATAGCTTGGACTAGACGGATTGATAACTCAAGCTTAATTCAATGTATTTATATATAAACAGCAAATAAAGCAAACAAATCGAGATTAACAATTTTACAGAGATGCAAAAATAAGCACTGAGCGAATTAATAAATTGAATACGGGGAGAGCTAAAATGCGGGGAGAGAGCTAGAGCACGAAGTTTTGAGAATAAACGCACGATCATACGATTATCTGACGGCTACAACAAATTTAACGCCCACGCCAGAGCTGGCCGTGCTTAATCTTTGCAGTCTGACAGATAGTGGTGGGAAATTTGCGCAGCACTTCATTACATCTTCTTACCAGGTAGATGCTAATACGGAAATTTCTTGAATGCGGTAGCTATTTGGAGTCTAATCTATTTCGAAATAATAGTTGACAATTTGCATCTTACAGTATAGTAAAAACCTGCAGGTACGGGTGATGCCTTCAGGGTTCTCGGGTTCAACCCTCAGGGCGACAGATAGGACACATGATGGGAAGGGTTAGAGGGGAGAAGCAGGGGATGCGAAATTTCATAATTGGCGAATGCCGTGAGTGGCCACACCCCACCTCCGCCACCTTACGATGGATTGCAGGTCCATTCCAATGGACTGCTGGTCCATCACAATGCATTTCTGGTACATTACAATAGATTGTTGGTCCATTACAATGGACTGCTGGTCCATCACAATGCATTTCTGGTACATTACAATAGATTGCAGGTCCATTACAATGGACTGCTGGTCCATCACAATGCATTTCTGGTACATTACAATAGATTGTTGGTCCATTACAATGGACTGCTGTTCCATTACAATGTATTTCTGGTCCATCAATATAGATTACTGATCCATTACCATGGATTGCTGGTGCATTGCAATGGAGTGCTGGTCCATCACAATGGATTGCTGGTCCATTACAATGGATTGCTAGTCCATCACAATGCATTCCTGGTTCGTTACAATGATTGATGGTCCATTACAATAGACCAACATCCATTACAATAGATTGCTACCCAATCCATTACGATAGACTGATACCCAGTCAAATTTCTAAGCCGCGACCGGCGATTTTCTTGGTCGAATTGAGACGGTCGGAGCCGTGAAACTATAACCAGCCATCCATCCCTATAACTGCGCTGCGCCATGGCTAATATAGAGAAAAACTCTAACACCTCGGCAGGGACAGAACTCTGCGCTGTTGTAGCGCTGGTACATGGATAGCGCGGCAGCGAGCAGAGCAGAGCAGCTATGCAGGCCGTGCTTAACAAGGAGGGATTTGAGAAAGGGAGGAGGGGAAAGAGTTGGAGGCAGGGGAGGGACTCCATCCTTTATCTAGTTCATGTGACATATTACGCTATTTCGGGTCCCTTATTGATGGCAGTTGTGATTTTTATACCACGCAGGTATTTTATTTAATATCCTTGAAATCGCATGAATTTTATTTCACCCGTTTGAAGACTATCGCAAACAGAAACGCTTGCTCTCAACGGCGCGTGTAGTGAAAGTACAAAGCAATCGGTTCGTCCTGGAAAATTTTCTTACCTAAATGTTCTAAAAACAATTCATTTTTCTATTAAACGATATAAATCTAATGTAATCTCCTACAAGTTCAATGGCTCAGAAACTGCTGAAAAATTAGTAATATATCTATTTAGAACTATTAAATCGTAAAATTCACCGTATAACTGATATTCAAAACTTTTTCATACTAAAGTATTAATCTTTTCTTTAAATGGAAAATTTACTTCATTTGACAATGGGACTATTATAGTGATTGAAGATAATTCGAAATAAATTGCGATATAAATTGCGATATAATAAATTACATCCAACTGACGGTATCATATGAAGTCAAATGATACAAGAAAACTATTCGTATTTTTAAAATAAGGATCTATGTAACGAACAAGAATGGCTTCCTAATGCTCGAAAATTTAATGTTGTGCTTCGAAAAGATGTATAAGAAAGGCAATAAGGGCACTGCATGTCTGCCTCCTTTAATTAACGATATAGGTCACGGAAATTTTTCTCATCCTAATATCATTCCTTTTCGATTTAATAGTAACTGATTTCATTTCTTTAAAATGATTATTCAAATGAATAATATCTACCCAGTTCAACCACATATGTAAGCTATTCCTCGACATGCTTGGCGACAGCAATTAATTTTTACTATAGTTAAGTAATTGCTTGACATCAGGCGAGGTAGGTGGCTGGATGGTAAAGGTGCTTCGGCCGCTGACTTATGATGCTGCGGGCTAGCTTTCGAATCCCGGGGCTGCCGACGACGTTTATTTCAGAGACAACTCATAGAGGCGATTTAAAGATGTTGTGTGATTGGTTGTTAACTTATATAATTAATATTTGACGATACGTGCTTTAATACGGTGTGAATGATCGGTAACCAATGACAATAAAACCTTTCATTGCAAGAGCAAGTAATCGGTGATCTAGACGAGAGAAGGATGAAAATTTTTTAAATCGTTGTTGACCAGCAGAAAAGCTCAATTGCAGCATGCGCTGCCAAAGCCGCTCCATAGCAAGTTTTGAGCTGGTTTGCGCCGGAGGAGCTCCACCACGAGAGACGCGTGTCAGCAGGACAGAGCCTTCCAAGGCAGTTGATCAGAGATCAATTAGTGCTGTTCTGCGGCTGGTGATATCGTCTCTAATGCGGATATTTCTGCTCTGTCGCGGCTCTGTCGCGTCTCTACCTCGGCTCTAAAGCCGGCGACGGCCTGTTATATTCCCTGCCCTAAATTTTAACTGGGTAGTCCATTACAATGAATTGCTGGTGCATTATAATGGATTGCTGGTCCATTACAATGGATTGCTGGTCCATTACAATGGACTGCTGATCTATTACAATGGATTGCTAGTCCATTGTAATGGATTGCTGGGCCATTACAATGGATTGTTGATCAACTACTATATATTGCTGGTTATATTTACATGCCTCCCTTCACCCTCCTGGGGGACAGGGTGAGGCTGGTGTCGTTCTGGGGCTGCTTGGGCCAAGCTGGGGTCGCCCTCATCGCCTCAGTGGCCCACGACGCTGGTCTCCACATCCGCATGGCGGCGCCCCTGGACCTCAGCGCCCTCGGGGGGACATACCAGCTCCTCAGTGAGTCTTGCCCAGCAAGGGGGGGCGCCCTTGGGCCCTTGGGCGCCGTAGAATTATATGTTGTATAGTCATTATTTATTGTGATGTTTGTTTATTATTAATCATGATAATCTCCAAATAACAAATAATCACTAAACATTAATTTTCAACTATATTTAGTAATTCATATATCAACAAATTATTTAAATAAGTAACTTATAAGCATTAATCAAGGAGCTATAAGATGCACGGCTACGATTACGTGGATTTTATATATATGGTTATAATAGTATAATACACAAGAATAAGCTATGTTGTTAGGAAGCATACTATTTTATTTATATGTACATTATATTATGTACATATAAGCAATACTCATCCGAAGACAAATCAAAATTATATTATGTATATATATATACATAAAAAACTGTTATCTTGCATCACTGTCATCTTGCATCGCTGTTATCTGGCATCGCTGTTATCCTCATTGTAATCTTATTTGATCTGCGCAGATGTTTGTGTGTCGCGCCCCTTCCCTCCTCCTGGCCCCTCCTCCCCTACGTGGCTGCTGCCTCCCCTCCCCCCACCATGGCTGATCGTGGAGGGGGCGGAAGAGGGGTCCTGGAAGGCCGTAGCCAACACCATCGCCGCCCTCGCCCCCCCTGGCAAGAGGTGCGTAGCCCCCGAACCCCGGGGGGAAATAGAGTTCATTTGTTATACATCGTATAGTTTGTACATCTTATATTTGTACATAGTATGGTTATATATCGTACAGTTAGGCATCGTATAGTTATACGTCGAATAGTTATACATCGTTTAGTTATAATCTTATAGTTGTAAATCGCATAGATGTACGTCTTATAGTTTGAAATCGTACGATGTGTCGTAACTGATACATCTTACAGTTAGGCATCGTATGCGTACATCGTACCTAGTCAAACAGGTCATGATCGATCAACGAAGATTGAATTGATTCGATCAAGAATATTGATGCAGATTCCTGCTCGATCGACCGAGGCAAAACCCAACTTGTAGTGGGACTGTAGGGGGGCAATGTCGCGGGGCACACCACCGATTAAAGAGAAGCATTCTATGCAGATTCTGTGAAAATCTTTGAAGTTTCTGCACACTATAATTTATTGAGTCGAATAATCTGCATCGAATGATGTCGAATCTACAGTAGATGATGCCTAATCTGCAGTAATCGATGTCGAATCATTTTTGATCTACGTCGAATCTACATTAATCGATGCCAAATTGATATTATTTGTTGTTGAATATTAGCTATTTTTGCACCCTGCTGTACGAATATAATAAATTTTACTTGCTATAACTGGACCAAAGATCAAAAAAAATCAAATCAATATAAAACAATTTGTGTTCATACTTTCACGTGACATACGACGCTGAAATCAAATCCGCGCGTGTACAAAAAATTTCGGAGCGTGCAAGAAACATACTGTACATTTGTCATGAGTCTACAAATTATTAACCTCTATCGGTCTTCTGAATACAATCCAACAGGTTAATCATGGTTATTACTCAAAGCAGTTATTCGTTAAAAAATTAAAACATAGAAGCAAATTATGACATGAGGTGAAGTAAAGTAGACAAAAAATGGGATCAAGTGAAAAAAATTCAATGCAAACAGAAAGTTTGGATTTTGTTTTTGCAATAGTTAAAAATTATCACCGTTATATCGATGTCCTTGGAAATTTGTGGCTCTTGTTTTAAAATACTTTGATTTGATTTAGGATGCAAAGTATGGCATGCAGGACCGAGTTTCAAATTTTATCACAATGACTTTATCAACTTCAACTTAACTTTTAACAAATTTTATCAACTATCAACAAACTTCATCAACTCATCAACAAACTTTATCAATACAAACTTTATCAACTCAGGGAAACGTTCAGCAAACTTGAAAAGAAATAAAAATTGTTACGTTTGCGTCATAAAATTCCAAATATTAAAGAAATGCCTGTAAAATTGCAGAATCATATAAGAAACTCAACCACTAAAAAACAGTGACAAGTGTCAAATTCTTTCTGCTCAATTTATTTCATTAATTACGGTTAGTCGACACACTAATGATACTTAAACGTGAAATTAAAGCATAAGCTTGAGATGACCTGAAATCACATACCAATTATAAAATCAGAGACGGAAACAGTAGTAAAGTAGAATAAAGCTTGGCGGCGAGGACTCCAAAGAACTGCAATATTCCAAGCGGAGCTGGGATAGCGCAGAGCGGTAGGGGCGAGGGAGCGAGGCCTCTTCTGATGCAATCGGTGGTGGTGGTGGGGACGCAAGGACAACGTTGTTTTCAGCGTTCGTCATTACGCGGAAAGAGATCTTCCTGCTAAGGGAGCGCTATACCGGCGGAAATGATGCCGTTTGTCAGAAAGGGCGAAACAAGGTGGCCGAATCTAGACATAAGATAGGTTTTCATGAGGACGGTCCCCGAGGGAAGCAGAGACAATGTGGATTGAAGCATGGGAGGGTTGGATGGCGCTGGCTGGGAACTGAGCGCAAGCCAGGTCCATGTGAGCAGGCAAAAGAATGACACCAGTCGCATGGTGGAGATGGGTAATTGAAGCCATTTTGTGGCAGCCGGTGGCTAATCTCAGAGCAGAATTTTGGAGTTTGGAGGCTTGCTATTGCAGTGCGTGAGGCGACAGGTTGCCAGATGGGGCAGCGTAGTCGATCTGGTGCGTGATTTTCCGGTAGGTGGCGATGAGGTCCTCCTTGGAGAAACCTCAGTTGGTGCCAGCCAGTGTTTTTAGGATACGTAAAGAGCCTACCGCTCTAGTGGCTGAGGCTCTTACGTGTGGTGAAAACGTGCAGTGGGTATCCCAGGTGACGCCTAGAATTTTGGGGGTTTCATCTAGAGGGATAATGACGTTGCAGAAAGTGGGAGATGGGGCTGAGCGGGATTGATGGGTGTCTGTGGTGAAGAAAGTGACGGATGCGTTGCACGGTGCTACTGACAGTTTCTTGGAGGCAGACCAGTCGGAGACGAACCAAAGAAGCACAGTAAGGTCAGCCTCCGCAACGTCAAGCCTCGGGCAAGACACGAAGATCGTGAGATCGTCCGCGGATGAGGCAATATTGGAGATCGGTACTGTGATGTCAGAGATGAAGTGGTTGAATAAGGCCGGCGAGATCACCGAACCATGGGGGACTCCTGAATGAATTGTACGGAAGAGAGATTGATATAGGCAGGATGACATCCTGCCTCTGAGATAACAGCACAGCCAGCGCACCAGATTGTGGAGGAGGTCCAAGGCTATTATCAAGGAGCGAGTGGAGGAGGAGGTCCAAGAAGAGAGTGGTCGACGCTATCGCAAGCTTTTGATAGGCCGACTGCAGCTGAAACTGTGCGGGCTGGAGGCCGCCATGAGTTGAAACCTGTCGCAATCTGATGCGAGAGCGGGAGGAGGGTGGTGATAGTAGAGTGTCCCGATTTGAAGCCATGTTTCGAGGGAACGGTCGTAAGTGATGCTTGAGATGTGCGGGAGTAGGAGTCGATCCAGGAACTTGAGACATGATTAAATGATTACTGTTGGACATAGGAGAAAGATGGGGTGGTAGGATGAACCCTGGCTACCATGTTTACCGGGCCAAGCCCCAGTCATCTTCAACGTTGAGACCTCACCTGAAAATATTTGTGAATGGTCAAATCACTTTACAGGTCAATATTAAGGCTATTGTAAGTAAGGCCCATGACTGGATTTCAGCTGAAAACTTGACTGGGATCGCTGTGAATTATGAGTCACCTTTTTTTAGTACTGCCACTTTGTTCAACACAATCTGGCTCATGTCAATCAATGCAAAAAAATTCTGCCGTAACGTTAAACGAATAGTACGATACTACTCGCACATAAGGGTGGTGTGCGATGGTTTGTGCCCGAAATAATATTACATTGGCGACACCTAGCCTATTGAAGTTCAACAGAATAAATGGCGAAAAATATAGCAATTTTTTCAATCTATAAAATACAATGACATGTGAGCAAACAAAGTTGTATGAAATAGTTAATGAATCAATTAATTGAGCCGAAGTAAATCTCTTCACAATTAACTTACTGCCTGTCACGTTATTTCCTAGGTCCGGCTGCTCCTGAAAGTGTTAAAGTAGACGGATATGAATGGCTGAGCAGTTGCATCAGTGTCGAGGTTGGAGCAACCATATCAAGCGGCAAAAACAGCTGTTATAACAAATAGGAGATCAGAAAAGATCTATATTTTACTAATATTCGTGCCATCTAGTCTTTACTTGCACTCTAATGCAACTGAAATGCTAGCAATGACACTGCAGTGTGTGTGTTTCTGGGGGGATGACATAGAGTTTGCCTGGGGGAATGACACTTCAGTTTGTGCGTCGGAGGGAATGACACTGCTATTTGTGTGCCCAGGTTCGGGGGGCTGGCGCTGCTTGGTTGTAGGCTGCGTGCGGCCGAGCTGCCGCCGCTGCTGCAGGAGCTGAGAGACAAGGGCCTGAGGACGGACGGCGGGGGCGACACGCACGCCAAGGCTGTCGGGTGAGTTGGTGGCGGCCACTGAACTGTGGGCCAATATTCCTATATCATACATAGACTACAATGATAATATTGATGTGGAGGGGGTTGAGGGGTTACTTATGGTGGCAAATCATTGGACACAACGACATCATCACGACAATCATTATCTTTGACATCATATCACAATAACGATATGTCGTCGTTATTGTTAATCCTATATCTTAATCATGTATTCCCACTAATTATATTTAATTTTTAAATTATTATGTAATCATATGGCATTATATGGAATTAATTGGAATAATTATGGAAAAGAGTTACGGAATAGAGATAGGATATATGGGATTAGAGTTACATATTGTAGGATTAGAGTTACGTTTAATTTTACTATATATATAGAAGAACATAAATAATACATATAAAAAACATAATATATTGTTTTTTATATATTTTATATTTAATTTTATATATTATTTTTTTATCACATTATATTATATTTAGAACCCCAATTATATAATAAATAATATTTAATATATATTTTTAATATTATAAAATTATACATAATTCCAATCCTACATTATATTTGTTCCAAAATATTAATTCTAGATAATCCTATATGATTATATTGATTCATTATATTCAGTATAATAATCTCATCTTTAATATATTAATGATAAGATGATGGCGCTCTGTCATTGCTCGCCATTTGTCGGCCAACGATAGCGCCACACCAGATGGCGGCTGCTGGCATGCCACAAGCCACGCAGGATATTCACTGCCGTACTCCCACAGGTGGGATGTCTACCTCCGCATCACTGACCGCGTGCCCCTGGGGGGACCAGCGGGGCCCAGTGACGCCGAACTGCAGGAGGCGCTGCAGGAATACCTGCGACAACATTAGGGCGAGGAACACTAGGACGAGGAACACTAGGACGAGGAGCACTAGGACGAGGAACACTAGGACGAGGAACACTAGGACGAGGAACACTAGGACGAGGAACACTAGGACGAGGAAACAATAGGACGAGGAACAATAGGACGAGGAACACTAGGACGAGCAAAACTAGGAAGGAATTCACGACTTGAACTTGGTGTAACTCATTTCAACCTACTCGATGCTCATTCATTTTAAAGAATTATGTAGATTAAATGAACTCCAATTCTGTTTGCATGTTCTGTCAGGACTATAGTTAATGCAAAAGAAAGAATTTTTAAGGGGAGCATGTACCCTAGTTATGGACGAAATGTCGTTTTCTGTTATTTGTTCTCATTTTTTGAGAGAACTATTTCACATTGTATGAAGACCTCAGGGCTTTAGCTCTGATCGGTTTCTCGTGAGAGCGTTCCGAACTTCATGAAATGAACATTTTATAACCAGTTTTTATAAAGATGTATATAATGAAATCTGTATATATGGTTCAGTATTCGCGTTAATTGCAATATATTTGCACTCGATTTAAAGCTGTCAACAAGACGCGTTCAATAAAGCAACAGCCATGGATGTATATGAAATACTTTTTGAGTTCGATTATTTTGAAATTTTGTAAAATGGCCATTTAGTATATTAGTGAGCCTATCACAACAGTTTGTCTAAACAGCTTAACAGGCTACCGATCATACACCCACAATCTTCCCCCGAATAAAACCTGGTCATTTACCCAATATCTTACCTCGAGTCTTGACCATCAAAAGTGATCAATTACTCCTGAATAAAACCAGGTCATATACCCACAATCTTATTTCGAATCTTGGCCATCAAAAATTTGAGCACTGTCTTCCGATCAAAAACCCGACCATTTACCCTCAATATTGCCCACCAAAATCATGGGTTAACGACCATTTACACTTTTTGAGCACTTTTTAACCGAGAACTGAGGGCTTAAGTGAGTGTTGTGATAGAAGATATTTTTTGGGGGATGTATAATTGATTAAAACTTTAGAAATACTTTCCAGAACCGGGATGCTCATCATTATTAATCAACACAAAGCTATATGGAACTTTATACGCTTCATTACACAGTTCTTTAAACTCTGCAAAGGGCATTTCACAAGCAACGTAATCTATATGAATATTCTTCATAGGTAACTCGAATGGATAGGTAACTCGAATGCATTTAATAAATTTGAATTCGTTCTAATGGTTTGTCTTGGTAAGTAATAGTCCTGATCGGTCATAGTCTGCTTACCATCCATACCCATACCCATGCCCATCCATACCCATACCCATCCATACCCATACCCATGCCCATCCATACCCATACCCATACCCATCCATACCCTTTGTCATTAGCCTGCGCTCGCCGAACGCACAACCAATGTAGTCAGTAGCCTGCGCTCGCCGAGCCAGCGCTGCTCCAGCTCATGGTCAGCTATATGCACTAACCACAGCTCTCTAATATTAACAGCACGCAACCGACTCAAGCCCATGATCCAAGACCGCTGTTATCAGACGTCACCTCTCCATCACTGTAATTCTAGAAGGTCAACAGACATCACCAATTCAAGCATCAAGTCACCACTCACATTCAGTGTCTAGCTATACTCAGGTGTTGTGTTTCATTAACCTTTTTCATTTTATCAAAGAAATCAATTCAATAAATTTTCAATGTCATTTTTACTTATGCTATATGAAATGAGACTTGATAAATCATCTGATGTAAATCATACGAAAAACATACATTTAATGTGAAATTTCTTTGGATATATTTTTGTAGTAAAATGAAAGCAAGTATTGTCAGCATGAAACATTGTGACGTTTGTAACACACTAGTTAAAAACCTAAACAGACATATAGAAACTCAAAAGCATCGGAAAACAATTAACAGTTCGATCATATCATATAAATACTTTATTTCAAAGACAAAATGCGTAATGTGTAATATCAAAGTTCAAAACATAAAAAGGTATGACGTTGAAGTGATAGTATATTAGCCAGCTCTTTCTTTTATTGTAATCTTTGCAATTTAGAAGTGAATGATATCGGAACGCATGAAGATTCAAATGTACATTTTGAAGATAAATTTGAATGCATGAGAGGTGATATTATAAGTAGACTGTAAATGATGAATGCGTAGAACATATTTATCTTGATATAAGAATGATCGATCCGAATTTATTTCTGAATAATATAACATCTGAAGTTATTCAAGCAATTAGGCAGTCAAAGAATACTAATATTAAATTACAGCTGAATTTGCAAGCCGAGTTTTATAAATTCAAATTAGGCAGCGAGAAAATCTATAATACCGCTTGGTTCTCTTCAAACATGGAACAGACCTGATGGAACGATAAAAGCAAACAACGGAAAGAAATATGAAAAATTCATCAGACCACGTATCTATAAAGCGACGAAGGTGGAAAATGTTCGTCATGAAGTTGCTAGCATGAGAGCAGCAAGTCCCGCATCGTCTCGGGATTCAACTCTGGAATCAAGACCATGCAGAACCTGATTCAGACGTTTCAGGAGCAGGAATAATAGTTATACCTTCTAACGTTAACGATATTGTTGTAAGACATCACTTATTATTTGGCTCTCTTAATGCTGGAAAAACACGAGTCTTCAATTAATTGCAGGCTCTCACTTATGAACTTTATAAACGAAACTTTTTGAATGATCATGATGTTGAACTCTTGAATAATTTTTGTTACAGAAAATGGAATCACAAAGCATGGTTATTACCGGTTATAGTGATATTTACACGAATTTCACGCCTGCAATAGAATTGGATACAAACAAATTTCATGAACTGGCTTTGGTGGGGCTGGATATGTATCACTGTATCCCGAATATCGATGAGACAAATAATCAATCGATCAATAAATATTATGTTGGGAAACGTGGTATGGTAATCCCTATAACTATTCCGACTGTATGTTATGAGATAGAGAGCATCAATAACTATATTAGAAAGGCGTTCGGAAACGAGGACTCGATCGATATAAAAGCGAACATCAATACTCTGAAATGCGTTATAACTATTCATGATCCTGAGTGGAAAATTAATTTCAACGAACCCAAAAGTTTACATACTCTGTTAGGCTTTGATGATGGACTGTTGGGAGGTGTTGAAGAACATGAAAGCACAAATATAATAAATATAATGCCTGTTAATGCAATACTTGTTCACAGCAGCATAATCAATGCATCATATCTCAATGGTGTGTGGAGTATTGAATGCATGCGATTGGAGTGGAGTTTTTACAATGCACTGCAGGATATTTGTGAAGTTAAACAATGCACTGCAGGTTATCTGTGAAGTTATACAATGCACTGTAGGTTAGTTCTGAAGTTAAACAATGCACTGCAGGATATTTGTGAAGTTAAACCATGCACTGCAGGTATTCAAGGTAAACATGCACTGGTGGTAATATGCGTAGTTTAAGCAATGCACTGCGATTAATTTGTGCAGTTTATACTATGAACTGCAAGTTTTTCTGCAGTTTAAACAACCCATAACAGGTAACATGTGCAATTTAAACTGTGCAGTGCATGAAACTAATGCAGTTTATTTTTGCCTTAAACAATGCACTCCTGGTATTTTTTTTCATTTCAAACATTAAATAATTTGTTCAGTTCGAACAATGGTACAGAATAGCTGAATTCAAATAATACACAAATGGTAATTCTTGCAGTTTGAACACTGGAACAGGATTTCTACTTTGGATAATTCTCTGCAGATAGTAAGTTCAGTTGGAAAACTGTAACCGAATTGTTAACTTTGAACAATGTATTACTTGTATTTTAAGCTGCCCGCACACTACTGGCAATTCAGGTAGCTCGAACATAAAAACAGAAACTCTGTTAATTTGCGTTTTCCGAATATTTGAACAGAATTTTTGACTGTAATCAATACATAGCTGTTTATTTGCACAGTTCGAACATTTAAACAGAATTTATGACGTGGTTCTGATTTTTACTTTGAACTCGTTCAAAAACCAAGTCGTCGGGTTTGTGGCCGGAATGTGTTTTTACTGTCATTTTGAATATTCCATTGTCAAAGAAATTAAGACGTTACTTAGAAGATCATCAATGTGTGGTGGACATTAGTTCTCGAAATTCTCTGTATTTTCTTAATAACAATTGCAGGTAAGTGGGTTAAATCTATTACGTTTACATGGATTTTCATGTGACTGTTGCGTTCGAAATTCATAGAGCGGGATAATTTTACCTGTCGTTATATATGCGCGAGCTGAATGCCGAACATTTATTGGTTTCACCAGCGCTATAAGTACATTGAAGAACTCATGTTTACACCTTGTATTACCAGACGAAACGATAATTGATCGTGCACGATTGGTAATTTGGCGCGTAGTCAGGGGGATCCCAGATCTTGAGACACCTGGACGTTTTTGAGACACTTAGGCGGCCGTAGGTGTCTTGCTTTCGGCACGATCGATCGGGGAGGCCTTCAGACGTCTATGTGTTTCAAAACAGCGGTCAATTTTCTCTCAGTGTTGAGTCTGGCGCAGGCTTTATTGTTATCATTTTCCAAGCCTCCTCCAGTAGTTAGTTACCTTTCCGTCCTCCCAGTACCACTTCCCCCATTCAGAGTCAAATCGACCTATCAGTCGGTTATTCCAGACTTATCTGTAAAATAAGAAACACGCACACAATAACTCATATTCATAAATTACATGAAAGTGTGCATTCATTGAGCATACAATGTTATTGAATTTGGAATAGAATACCGGATTTGATTTCTTTCAATTCGATTTGTTCGGTTTACATAATAGCAGCTCAACTAAACTCAGCTCCTGGAACCGAATAATTCAAAGTTATTCAAGAAGAACACGACTTGAGCTCCAGTCAAAATTTACTAAGCGGCCCGATGATCTTTGGGCAAGAGCATGAGTCACAAAATGTTGCCATTGATTTGCATCCGAAATCCGATGGCACAAATGATGTCCATCAGATGACATCGATCACATTATTATACGTTGGTAAAAATGACCGTCTGCCACGTGGGTGCTGGTTTTATCTATTTGGACTTTGACTAAATATATTCTCCTAAGCCGAATCAATTAGCAGAATAAGCCTTTGACGAATACATTCATCGGGCTATAATATAGCACGCGCATTGGCGAATGTAAGGGTCATGCGAAATAAATCACAGCTCCACACGAGCTTCAAATAATCCATTCGTAAGATAATGCACCCGTCAAGCCTAGAACCATCCGTTGTCAT